CTTCTGTGAAAAGCTTGTATCCCTTGTAAACATTTTTCTGGCTCAGAATATGATCACCAAATTCCACTTTCGACATTTCAAGTTTTTTGAGCACTCAATTCCATATTTTACATAAAAATTGATGCAAATTCTTTGATCCATTTTTCCGATAGCAGAAAATTGTCGAACACGCTAAACATTTCTAACGCTAAACGATATGTTCGAGGCAAGTGTACCAACATAAAAAAAATCGCTAATCGAATGTACGCAGCACACAAAATTTAAACACTCAACATATTTTCTGCACAATTCACGTATATGCCACTATTGGTCCGACTAAAACCTTCACGTCTTTCATTTCATTGCCCAAAATCGAAAAACTAAGTGTTTTGTTGAAAAAAAAACCTAGGTTAGTTGTGATTTTCCTCTCTATTAACATACAGGATGACCCAAACTTTGATGTCCAAATTTTTTTCTCACGAAAAAGGAGACCTTGAGATCTAGCAAAATTTAGTTTTCTAGTTATGACAGGCTTTTTTCACTTTCGGGATTTGGGTAGTTCTTTCAAATGATCCTTATGAATTGTTTTTCCATGCAAAAAATAATTATCCATCTAAAATCATAGCAAAATACAATTTTTTCTATTGATATGAAAAAATTCACGTTCCAACAAAATTTCACCGTTGAATTGGAGTTTGTTTAAAATATTATACACTAACTAGGTAATTTTTTGAACTTTGCAGGACCCTAAACTTGCAAAATAACACAAATGAGTGTGACTTAATAGGCTATTATTTGCTGAAACAGTCCTAATGTATTGAAGTGAATATGTACAGAAGTGGTTATTTATTAATTGAATAGAACTGGCCGATACTTGATGAAAATCTATATTGAAAAACTAATCAATACGGTTTATTGTAGAATTTTCACTATAAAAGGGTTTTACAAAAACCGCGACACGTGTTTCGCTATACAATAGCTTCCTCAAGCATAAACTGCTTATGCTTGAGGAAGCTAATGTATAGCGAAACACGTGTCGCTGTTTTTGTAAAATCCTTTTATATAGTGAAAATCATACAATAAACTGTATTGATTAGTTTTATTTTGTTATTTATTTGTGAAATGGGTTTGTCATCAGCAAGGCTGATTCAGATTATATGACAAATGATGTGAAAAACTCTTCCGTTGGGTCATCATTGAACTATAATTTTATTTTCGGTAGAATGTTGAACAATGAATATAAATTCCATTCGATCAATTCATATCATAACATTTTCATTCGCTTTCCCTTGATTTTTATCGGATCCGTTCTTTGCATGCTATCATTTTCATAACCTAGGAACAGAGGACTAATAATAAAATTATTATAGAAAAATAATGTTTGAGAGTTATTAAAAATATAATCAACGTTTCTAACGTTTTAACGATTCTATTAAACTGAAAGGTAGAATTGGAAATTTTTACGATAAATCCAAAACAATACAACACTGCACACAAAAAATACAACACTATTCGCGACTCGCCTTTCACTAATCGAATTGTCATCATCGCACCTGTTTGTGCGCGAATCAGACTGATGCGATTTAAATATTTTCAAATCTCTGTTATGCACACGAAACATCCATAGATTGAACTTCGTGCCATTTTTTCGGAAATATGTGCGGGAGCATTCCACAGCACATCGCTTACTTACCTCACTTCAGCGTGCTTGCTCCTGTTTTGTTTTGTTGAAAAAGCACGAGCGCGTATCGAAATCGATAGTGGGGGAGTGGGAAAGCACTGAAAGCAGACTGCCACTCATCAATCAGTCGCAGCACAAACAACGGAGTAAATGATTTTTGTCGTTTTCGTTCGTTTGATAAAAAATCTTTTTGTACTTACCTACGTTGATATAGATCCTAAAAAACGAAAAGTCGACAGTGAAAATAGAAGGTTTTTGGAAGGATGGATTGAACAATATTGATACGCTGTCTGATAGGCCTCAAGCGGTTCCAGTGTGCCTTATATGCAATAAAACTGTCGCTATTGTTAAAAGTGGAAATTTGAAGCGACACTACGAAACAACTCATTAGCAATTCCACGAAAACTTTCCTCTTGGCAGTCAGGCTCGTAAAGAAAAAATTCAGACATATCTCAGTTCTTACGAAAAGAGTACGAAATTACTAGTTCGTTGCATGAGCGACCAAGGAAAATCCACAGAAGCAGCGTTACGTGTGTGCTGGACGCCTAATAAACACCAGAAACCATTTTCAGATTCTTAGATGGTGAAAAAATGTATGTTAGAAGTAGTCACGGTTTCGCTTTCAACTGACGTTGCCCCAGCAATGACTGTCAAAGAAAAAGGTGTAGTTAAGAGAATCAGAGATAAAAATTCAGGTATAATATCATATCAGTGCAAAATTCACCAGGCAGCCCTTTGTGGAAAACTCAAAGAAGTGATGTATAACTTGGTCAAGTTGATTAATTTTATGAGATCCCATTCTGCTCTTCAGCACCGACATTTCAAAGAGTTCCTTTCTGAATGTGATTCTGTCTTTTCTGACTTACTACAACACAACAATGTTCGTTGGCTAAGTAAAGGTCAAGTTATCGAATGTTTCTGGCTAATAAAAGAACAAGTATCCTCATTCTTGCAAAACTTAGATACGCAGGGAGCCAGAAAGCGCTGTGGAGTTTATAAAAAATGAGTGCGATATATTGGTTGTGGCTTTTCTGAAAGAAATTTTAAAATATATGAATGCGCTCAATACAGAGTTACAAGGAAATGGAAAATTAATATGTGATCTGATACAAAGCGTGTCTGCTTTTCGTCGTAAGCTGGACATATTTGAAAAATATTTCGTTAAACAAGAATTTATTCATTTTCCGACAATTTTTGAATTTAAAAGGGAGACATGTGAAGAAGACATTGCAGAGTTTGTAAAATTTCTGGCCGATCTTAAGAACGAATTTGCTACAAGATTCCAAGACTTTGCAGAGATAGGCAAGCTATCTTCGTTTGAAATTGATGCAGCGGTAAAATAGACAGATGTGGCTGCCAAGTTGTTTAATCTGTCAAAGCCTAACTAACTTGGTTGCTGAAACATGTGTCGAGCAGAGTTTTGCAATTCTGGTGTGTGAGAGTTGCTTTGGACCCTATATAACATTCCAAATTGGTGTTTTCACTAACTTACCGAAGAACCATTTCAATGCGGGATAAATACTATCCGTTTTTACGAAATTAAATTATTCAGGTACTCCTCAAAAAACATCAATGGAATTTATTGGTGAAGTGTTTCTGGTAGTTATGTTTTTATAGTGTTTCACCGAGGGGAGTATTTGCTATTCGAATTAATCCTGGAAAGAACAAAATGAGAAATGATATGTTACAATCAAATAGCTACCTGCTACCTGTGAAAATTTCTACCTCCGTACCTTCAAACACCGACAGTTACCACAATTTTCTGGATTCCGCAAAGGTTTCAAAATAATCTAGGAACAATGGAATCGACCTCGAAATTTTAACTTTACCGATTTTAAATGTGATATTTTTTAATATCGTTGAACATTTTTGTAACTCTAATTATTATTTATTATTTTATGCATGAAAAAACAATTCACAAGAATCATATAACAAAAAAAATTGAAAAGTATGTAAGCCGGGTTTCCTGAAAATTACCATAAAAATATTGAAAAATGATTAACTCAATAGTTAAAAAAAATTGCATAAGGCAATTGCAAACACACCGATTGTGGACGGCCGATTTTATACAGTTCCTCCAAATTCCAATAGTGAAACACATGTGGGAACGGGACCTGGCACACATGCTTACCGGTGATCGACGCCGATCACCGGTAGGCATGTGTGCAAGGTCCCGTTCCCTCATGTGGTTCTATTGGAATTTGGACGACCGGTATAAAATCGGCCGTCCAAAATCGGTGTGTGTGCATTTAGCGTAACATTGAGCGACGCTCCCCGGCTGCCTAATCACTTTGAGATCTAACAAATCAATTCACTGCATACTTTTTTTTTCTATCACAGGTGTACTGAACATTTTGCAATGGCATAAATCTATCTTTTGTTACCAATTTGATGGTCACAAATGAGGTGTTCATTGGAAAGCCTTTAGGCATATAATAGAAATCAAATTATACTATCGCCCGACGAAATAAATTCAAGCGGTCTCTCACACACACATACACCCACCGATGTGATACGCGTGATGAAGGAAGTTTGCAATTGTGTTGGATTTATTTTAGGTACACATCACTTTCAAGGTGCTTGCCTATTTCGAAATCGAAATCGATACTTGTGAACATACTTTTGTATGTTTAAGTCATACTATTGTAGTTTAAGTCACTGGCTGATGATGCCAACATGGTTAGTGAAACACGGCGTCGCGTAAAAGGTGTTTTAATGAATTTATTTAGGGCCAGAGGTTAAAATTCTACCTGATATGAAGTAACACACGAGAATCACTTCTTATTCAGTTTGTACAGAAAACATTCGTTATGGAATTGAAACACATATAGCTACATAAACGGGAAGTAAGAAAAAATATTTCCATTGTGATTCAAAGTTCACGATTGAAAGTGGTTATTTCTGATGGAATTCGTGCACAATCTACACATCTTCACACTAAAGTTTTTACTGATGTTTTTCAATTTTTCTTTTTTTATATATTTCTGACTCTATAAATCAAAGGTAGAATACCAGTAATCCTTAGAGAATGTTTTTCGTTTTTCACTTCTCCAGTATATACAAAAAAAAAGAAAATTGACAAATCTTAAGGCCGGTCCAGACGCTACATTTTGCACAATGTTTTATTTGCGCAGTTTAAAGATGGAATGAAAACGTTGCAATTGTTGGAGCGTCCACATGGTGCGAAGTTATCTGTGGATTTCGCTCAGTTTGTTATTTTATAAACTGGGGACAGTACTGTCCGCGAAGTTATCTCCGTATCTCCGTTGAAAAATCATCATTTTTTCTCAGCCTCCACGCTTTTTCTTCCTCAACTCAGGCTATTTTGCTTTATTTGTAGTATTTTTTATAATCAGCGATAATCATGGAGGAGGTACTACTCTGGTCAATTTTGGCATGCTGTCTTGTGAAAAATGAAAGATTGAATCGTCTCAGAAGTACCAGGCGTTCAAAGTGGTCGCGGAAGTGGCTTCTAAAAAGGCAGCATTTCTTCTGTATTACATTACTGCGAGAATTACGTGATGAACCTAATGATTGGAGGAACTACGTGAGAATGGAAATAGAAACGTATACCTATTTATTGGAATTAGTAACACCGCATATCATCAAAGAAAATACTTGTATGAGAACAGCAATATCACCACATGAAAGGCTGACAGCAACTTTAAGATTTTTGGCAACTGGCAGAAGTTACAAAGACCTAGAATTCACAACAATAATATCGAAACTATCCTTAAGTGAAATCATTCCCGAAACATGCAAAGCTATCTTCAACGTGCTGAAAAATGAATACTTGAAGGTAAGTAATAATGCTATTGTCTATAAAAGATTTATATTTATATGAACCTTAAAAACCAGTGTTTCACAATACTTAGGGTGAGCAGAATGAAAATGCAGGCATGTGTCTCAGTTTGGTTGATATGTTGACAAGAAGTTTGCAGCAGAAGCAAGGACTTGATGTGTGTGTGTCTGTAGATCTTCTTCACCGTTCTGTGGGATGATGCGTGAAACTGCCGGAATTTGGCTAATTGTTTCATACTCATGAGTGCGTGTAAGTTGTTCTGGGACATAGTTATGTGGCATAGGCTGCGACTGCTGCGAGAAGGAGTGGTATGGTCCAACTTGTGAAGAAAGAGTATGTGGCATTCTCAATTGTTGGGGCATATTCTGTTGACGCCAATTCCGCCCATTCATTAAAACAAAATCTTCTTGTCGCTGGCTAGTCATATCAACAAGTTGAAAACTTCTTGTTAGTGTACCCAACTTCGCTTCGAATAAAACATCAGAAATTAGTTTCTGAGCGATTGCGTTTTGTGAACTAGGGACATCTCTGAGTTTATTACCAACATGTTTTCCAAACACGTGGAAAGCATCCTCTGCCTGTAGCGACTCCAGTTTCTTTCCTACCAACTTCATAACGTCACTTGTGCCATCATCTTTTGGAACTACCTTTCTCTTACGACTTACGAGTTGAATAGTGTGATCTTAAAGTATTTCGGGACAATGTTGCATTGGAACAAGAAGTTGATGCTTCGGAAAGAGGGGTAGCAGGCGCTTCAGCGGATAGAGCGTCAGCTGAACTCGTATGCACATCTTCTTCCATCTGAAAATATTAAACAATTATCGATCTTCATAATTTTCATTATTTTTAAAATAATGGTCGAATAAATTAGAAAGGCTGGAGAGCAAATTGTAGGATACATAGTCTTGTATTATGAAAATAACACGTTGGGGGCTAGATACCTTTGCCTGTACGGAAGCGACGTGGTGGAAGGTTTTGCTGCTCACGATTTTTCTTTTTGTTTCAGTTTCCAAAGACTGAAAAGGAGTGACTGGAAGTTGCAGCTGAGTTTGAACGACTGTGGCAGTTCCCTCATTGTTTAGGGTCAATTGACGGAAAGCATATTAGGATGGTGCCACCTAAAGGAAGTGGGTCCTATTATTTCAAGTACAAAAAAACCCACAGTGTTGTTCTTATGGCAATAGCCAATGCCAATTGCGAATTTTTGTATTGTGATATAGGCACAAACGGTAGGATCTCAGATGGAGGGGTCATAAATAACACTACATTTTATGAAAAGCTCGTTGACAACGAGTTGAGCATTCCAAAATGCCGGTGCATTGAAAGTTCAAACAGGGTTTTAGGATACGTTTTTGTTGGTGATGAAGCTTTTGCTATGAGTCGAGAACTTCTTAAACCTTATCGACGAGAAGCATTAACAAGGGAGTGAAGAATTTTCAATTACCGCCTATCTAGGGCGAGGCGTGTTGTTGAAAACACATTCGGAATTTTGGCTTCAAGATTTCGTATTTTCCACACAAGTATTAATTTGAAGCTGGACAACGACGATACTGTAGTTCTTGCGTGTTGCGCTTCACACAACTTTTTGCGCAGAAAATCACCCCAAAACTACACACCTCCTGAAAGTATGGATCGGGAAAATATTTCTTAATGTACTATTGAATTAGGTGAAAGATGTGACCTGACCCACAATTATTACACGACCTACAGCGTGGAAGAAGAGGCCAGATTTCCAATAATGCTATCACAGTCAGAGAACAATTCAAAGAGTACTTCAATAATGATGGGTCTGTTCCTTGGCAAGATAAATTTATAACTTTAAACAATTAATGGTGTCATGTATGTAAATAAATTAATAAAACGATTATATAAAGGAAATTTTTTTCTTACCGGTTCTGATGGTTTATCAACTTCCTACTCGTCATTTTCAATCATGGTATTCCTAGATTTCCTTGGTGTCTCCTGATCATTTAGGAAGTGTAACAAATCAAAATACCACAGAGCTGGCTTGTAGATGTCGTCTTCTCCAGCCCCAGATCGATTCGATTTATTGCATTTTACTACTTCTTTACGGTAAACACTTCTCAACGAGTTAATTTTTTTAACAACTGTTTCTCTGATTGCAGTAGCATCAATTTCTTCAAATTTTTCGACTAACATTTCATACGCCTGCGCCTTCTTATCCCTGTCACTATACTCCTTGGATTTGATACGTCAAGGGCATGGAAAACTTTCATATAATGCAATAAATTCTGTAAGAAACTCCCGAGAACATTGCCGCAGGTCAGCCATTGTCGCTCACAAACAAACTATTGTCACTCACAAACAACGAAACTGAGGAACAAAACAAGTCGGAAAAAGGAGCGTCCGTCTACATGCACCGACTTGTCCGCGCAGTTCCAGGATATCTATGCTCCGAAGCTCAGTTATCGCGAAGCGCAGTACGCTCTTCGCGCCCGTTTCAAAACTGCACAGATTTCCATTCCACACGTAACGTTTCATCTGCAACGTGTTGAACTGTGCAGACAACACGTTGTACAAAACGGAGCGTCTGGACCGGCCTTTAAGAAAACAAGAGAATCGTCTAAATATTTTTTTTTCAGATACCAACTGGAAATAGAGTCCACCTGAAACCACGTCTGAAAAGCTGGGAAAATAGTGGTTTTAGTGAAGTTCAATATTTGATGGCTAAGTTCTTTAGGTTAATCATTTCTGTTTATATCTCTTCTTTGGATTTTTTTTTCGAAAGTTTTTCATTTTCTATATACTATTGGAGCTTTATACATAGCTAAAAAAGTTTGCTATAAAAAAAAATCTGTTTAAAATCTGTTTTGCCGTTAATCAGCTGTCGTCCCCATACGAACGACAACTTTCAGAAGTTGAGAAACTTGTGCGAGTTAAGGACTAACGAGGTCTTACCTTTTAACGTTTGATTCCTAACACGGAATCACACGTCATTATATTGTCATTTTTCTAAGATCAATGAGACTGAATTGATATATCAACAGAACGTAGTACATCCCAACACATCGAAGACTGATCCAGAGTATTTGAACGAAACAGATCCCGGGTCCAAGCAAAAATCTCCAGACTTCATCACATCTTTGGATTCTTTCATAAGACTATCTACATCTTGAAAACATTAATTACTCAACAAAATCAGTGTCCCTAAATGATTGAGAATAGGTCAAAATTGTGCCAGTGATCAACTAGAAAATAGGACAGTTTCAAATTGTTAACCTTGTTACATCGCAGTCATTTTGGGAATGAAATCCTGAAACTCATATCTAGTAAGTGTGGATGAGTTCTCTAGAGCATAGTCGCATTATATTCTTTAAGCAGCAATATGTCAAACACAGCTATCATATAACATTTTTACACCCTGTTGTGTAGGCTTTCATGCCTAGTCTGATTCAAATGACGCTTATACCGATTAAATTGAATAAGTATTCACCGAGATATTGTAGATAAACTAGAAAACAGAATCAAACAAAAAATACAGAACAAGGATCAAGCCACCCCAACAGACAAAACAACACAACGATGGACAGCATTTACGTACGTAGGACACCAAACCAAAAAACTAACAAACATCTTCAAACCACTGAACATCAACATCACATACAAGCCGAACACGAAGATAACACAAAAAATAAACAA